ATACTTTTTTTCCGTTTGAACACTTTTGGACTGGGAAAAAGTCTTAGAATGTATCCCATCTGTCAACCATGAGACAGTCATGAGAAAGATGCCATTTCCTGAATACATACAGATGTGGTTATAGCTGTTCAAACTGTTGTCTTTACAGTTAACTCATTTACATTGTTGGCACTACACATGTAGAATTAATTACCTCTAAATGTCTTCAGAAAGATTACAGTATGACTTGGACATAAAACTAACAGTGACTTTTATTTATCTCTAGCAGGAAACTAGAGGAGGGGGTCATTGCATTCAAACAAAGATAGTGGCATAAATTTGACATTACTGGAATAAATATTTATGGCTGGAGGAAAGACTGCAATTCTTTTTTGCAAAGCACAAACTGGGTGTTTTGTGGAATCGAAGAATGGAAAATAGACACGTGTAAAAGAAGCTGGGTCACAAAAGGATTGTTTGTCACATGATGTGAAATGTAAGTGAGGGCTTACAAAATTGCAAGATCTTTCATATGAAAGCGGTTCACACCCATGATGGGCTGGGAAGATAACAAAAGAAAAACTTTGTGTCACAATTTCATTGTTAATATGTTTTCTTATTAGAGGAATAAGAAGAAATGGTGTAATTTATAATAATGTAATCATATTTTGTAAAATACGGCCTTCAAATCACAACACATAAAAAATAAAGACAAGAAGAAAAATTCAGAGTGGCCTCAAAATTCTCCCCAATGCCTCTCCAGTTTCAAATTTATTTCTGGGAGCTCAGGCATACCATCTAAAAATTAGATTTTTAAAAAATGCAATACATATATGTACATGTACTCTGCACACATAGGCATGACACATGTGTGTGCACACGTATCTGCACATATATATGGTTCTAGGTACACACGTACATATGCATATATACACATAGAGTATGTGTGTGTGTATATATATATATACACATATATATATACACACATACATTATACTTTATTTTTCCAGATGATCATTTCTTTGATTTAAGAATAAATTTCCCATCACTCTTGCTAATTGAAAATTTTTGAAGCACAAAATGAAAATATTCAATATTTCAAGGCAGAAAACTATAGCAAACCATTTTATTTAGAAAAGTTTATCAAAGGATGACACATTTCATTTTATAGTAATCATAAGTTTTGTATTTCCACATTTGTGTGAGGAAAAATGAGTTAAATTTAATAGTTTGCTAAGTACATACAGTAAAAGAGAGTGCTTATGAATTTATTTCCTGCACATCACGTACTATGAGATGGAGATGGCACCTGAATGCTCCCAAGCTGAACACAGAGTCAGTTCAATATTCTTAACATATTAGAAGTGATAGGTCCATGGCAGGCCTACTGCTTTCATGAGATGATGAATAGTATGCTGGTGTGAAATAGACAGGAGCTCAGCACTGAATCTGTCTCAGGAACATATGCTTAATTTTTAAAATTAATGTTATGTTCGTTCTCTATTATTTAACATTTTTCTTAGTTTTTAAATATTAATCCTATTTTATCATTTTAATTCAGCAATGTTTCACAAACTCTGAAGAAATTATTTTAATGAGAGTCATAAGATTGTTCTTATTCTTTAACATATTATTTTTAAATGGTTGATATAATGGACATTTTCTATTTTGTGCTTAATTATAAAGAAAAATAAACCAAATGAGAGGGAGAGGGAGAGAAATTTAAACTAGAATTGGAACAGAATAAGATCAAAATGAGAATAAATAGTAAATATATTAACCCATGTCTGTCAGCATAGGATGGTCATGATGAGGCTACAAATGATCCCCTAAATTTCAGTGGTTTACAACAATTTATTTCTCTCATACTACATTTTTGTCATGGACTTTTCTCATATTGTTTCCCAGTTTCAAGATGATGAAATTGTTTCTATTTTGAACACAGCCAGTATGGAGAAAACGAAAAAAAGAACATGGCTCTACACACAACTCCAACCACTGGTTCAACGTTCTCTTAAAACCTCTGACAGAGTGTGACTATGGTTCTCAAGTCCAGTTTCACTGACAAGTTACATGGCCAACATGGTTTCCCCAGGAAGAGTTAATGGATATTTGTGGACCCTCATATAATCTATCACACTCAGCCAAAACAGAAGATGGGCCTTGAAAAGAGTAGTGACAGTGAAAATGCTTTCATTCATTCATTTAACAAATAATTACTGGCCTCCTATTGTAGTTAAGACAATATGATCAGTTCTGATGGTAGATTGGTGAAGACAGTCATAGACCCTACCCTGAAAAACGTGTATTGTCACAAAGAATATGTACATTAAATGAAAATTACAATAATGCACGATGAATGTAGTGATAGACTTCATTACACAGCTGGGATGGAGTCAAGTAGTGGATTCAAAAGATACTCAAAAATAGAATGTTGATGCCTAATGATTGACTGGATTTTTCATGTAAATGACAGACAATGTTCACAGCAACTTTAAGGTTTCCAGGTTGGAAATCGGTTATACCATGACACTTTTTAGTTTAATAGAACACAAGGAAGTATAATTATTGTAGACAAAGGGCAAAATCATTCTGTATATATTAAATTGTAAATATGTTTGAAACACCAAAGTAGTATTGGAGATTAAACCTCAGATTGAAACTATCTTATTATGATGAAATTGATACTTTGATATTCTAATTGAATATTTTAAATGCTAAATTTGAGGTTGCTAGCCTGAATTATTTCAGTGATTGTAGTATACCTGACAGAATTGGGGATTTCTAGGGCACAGTGGTTTGATAGGTAAATACTGAATCTTGATATTATGATAGTTTTCCAATTGTACAAATTTGGAATATTCAGGTAGAGTTACATAGTTGAAATAAAATATAGAGATTTAAAATTTGAAACCATGAATTGAGAAGCAATATCTCATGAAAGGGAAATAGAATGATCTAAGAGCAAAAGGCCTGAATCTTGACTCACACAGAAGAAAATAAGTCAGTGATGGAAAATAAATGCAAGGTAAGAAGGACTAGAAAAATAGAACTAGAAGGTTAATAGAGATGATCAATAATATGAAATATGAAAATTCCTTTTTATTCTCCCAAATCCCATAAAATCTAAAAAAAATTAAAAGTGTCATCACAGGATCAAATCATTTCAAATAATTTGAAATATTTAAAGTTGTGCCAAAAAAATCTGCACAAATAATCCCTATATTCTTAATATAATAAAAAATATTTTTTCTCATGCAGACCCCTGCAGGAATTTTTTTTTTTATCTTTTTTTTTACTATGTTCAGTTAGCCAACATGTAGTACATTGTTAGTTTTTGATGTAGTGTTCAACAATTCATCAGTTGCATATAGCATACAGTGCTCAACACATCACATGCCCTCCTTAATACCCTTCACCTGGTTATCCCATCCACCCATCCCCTTCCCTTCTGTAATCCTCAGTTTGTTTCCCGGAGTCCAGAGTCTCTCATTGTTTGTCTCCCTCTCTGATTTCTTCCCATTCAGTTTTCCCTCCCCTCCCCTGTGGTCCTCTGCACTATTCCTTATATTCCACATCTGAGTGAAACCATATGATAATTGTCTTTCTCCCCATGCAGGAATTTCTATCCTGAAGTTTTCAGTGGGACTCTTCAGGAACCCAGATTCTTCTGTTATGAATCTACTTTTATCTGGATCATCATGGATCTCCACATCCAGTGTGTAGATGGAAGAAGAGATAAATGGAGAATTCCAAGGAATATTTTATTGCAAGAATAAAATGAATAATTTCTGTCACATTTTATTGTCCAGTATTCTATCCTGTGGCCTCACCTAGATGCCATGATAGCTTGGAAATGTAGTCATAACCTAGGCAGCCAATTCCCAGCAGAAACTCTACATCATGGAAAGAATGTCCAAATCTTTGGTGATAACTGCCCTCCCTTTCATAGGAAATAATAAATTAGTGTAAGTACAAATACAATAAAGCCACAGTTCAAAACAGAGTAAGGGAAATATATACCTTTCAGAAATGAACCTGGGTTGAACACAAAGTCAATGCATAAAGAGATCTAGAAGGATAGTGAGTAAAATAAAACACAGATTAATGTGGAAATATGTGTAGTGGTAACAGAGATAATCACACATACCCACATAGGCACACACACATGTGCACACACATACATATAAATGCAAGTATAAATAAACTGGAAACAAAGAAAGAAAACTAAATAGTTGATAAAAATGAAGAGAAAAAAATGTAGAGCCAGAACAGTAAGTCGACCAATCATTTATGCAGTTGACAAGGTAGCCAGGAGGAGATCTTAGCTGAATATGGTTTCCGAAGGCTACAGAACTGGGATTTAATGGTTATTTGGGAAAAGAGATGTGGTCTTCTACCAACACCAAGGAGGGAGTTGAAATTGAGAGCCTAGCATGTTGGGGCTTCTGAAAGGGGTTGGCATTCTATGCAAGGATGAATTGTGAAGCTTCACAAACCAGTCTACACTGTGAAAGAAAAGGGTGATTTATGGGAAATACTATCTTATCACTGGCTATGAGATGAAATTGAACAAACAGAATAGCAGGTATAAACATATAACTAATCATTGTTCAATAAAGCATTTGAGGCGGAAGTAAATTCCGAAAACTGATCTTAAGGAGTACATCCATATGTCACAAGAAAGCCAATAGGAGGTAAATAGAATTCATTTGGCCAATGATGAGATTACAATAAAAAGTTATCAACTGGGGCGCCTGGGTGGCTCAGTCGTTGAGCGTCTGCCTTCGGCTCAGGTCATGATCCCAGAGTTCTGGGATCGAGCCCCGCATCGGGCTCTCTGCTCAGCGGGAGGCCTGCTTCTCCCTCTTCCACTCCCCCTGCTTGTATTCTCTCTCTGTCAAATAAATAAATAAAATCTTTAAAAAAAAAAAAAAAGTTATCAACTTTTTTTTTTAACTCAGAATTTTTTTTTTCTTTCATTTAAAGAAGTATTTAGAACACATCAAACAAGGCAACATTTATTCTTTCTTCTCGTCTTCCGGTGTGGGGTCTGCGGGCGGCTCCTCCACTGTGGCCCCGCGGCTCTCTGAGCCAGCGTTACTGTCACTGGTCCCTTCCTCAGCCATACTGTCCACCCCCTCCTGCCCGCTCTCCTTGTCCTCAGGAGTAGATGTGCCTTCTTCACCATTCTGTTGGCTTTCCGTCGCTTCTTCAAGGTGTGTCTCCTCTGTCCTCATCGGGATGCTCTCGTCCTCCTTCTTCTCCTCGGTCTTACTAGCAGCTTGCTCTTCCTCAGGAACTGCGTTCAGCTTGCTCTGCTGCTGCTTTCTCTCTTTGCTCCTGCCTTTTTCAAGCCTGTTTCCTCTGCCTGTGCAATTTCAGCGGCAGTTTTTTCCATATCCACTTCTACTTTCAAACCGCACAAACTTTTAAGTGCATTGTTCAATGAATCTGTGCTTTCCAGGAATCTCCTCTTCTTTTCCTGGTGTCGCTCCTCTATTTGAAGAAGTTCAGCTTCTAGTTTTCGCTGATAAACCATTAAGGGCTGGAGCTGTCGTTTGAGGACCTGCATTCTAGCTGTTGTGACAACTGACCGGACGTCTGGCACCACACTCTAAGGATTTCACTGATGAGGCGGTGGTTTCTCTGGAAACGGGCAGTGACTGTAGGCTTCATGGAGAAGCCATCATCATAATCATCTGGATCTTCAGCAGGCTGAATGCTCATGTACGGTTCTCCTTTCTCCATGCGAGACTGTCTCTGTCGACTTTCTTCCTCTAAAGCAGCTTCTGCACGACTTTTTGCATTTATGTAAGCAAGGTATGTGGGGGAATTATGATAGGCCTTCACAGAGTCCTTGTACTCTATCTTTTCTGCTTCGTATTCGTTTAAATATTGTTTTTCTTCATCAGTGAGATCTCGCCACATGCCACCCATAATCTTGCCAATCTCCCACAACTTTAGGTCAGGGTTGGAAGCTTTTAGTTGGTCCCAGACCTTTCTGCTGTACCTCATGTAGGGCATCAGCAGCTTATCTGGTGGTTTGGGGGCTTTTGGAATCATAATACCAGAGGATGCCATGACCCGGCTGTTGGTGCCTGGGTTCCCTCCCAGCCTGTAGTTGTTGTAGGTGAGATGACTATATGGATTGTATCCCACAAATCCTGTTGTGCTGGGCATTTGTGTTGCAGGAGCTGGGGTGGGAGGTGGGGCATAAGATGGTCTTTTTGACATTTTGGAAGATTAAGTTCTCAGTTCCTTAGGAATGAATCTGAGACACCGCGGGCAGAAAAAACGCCCGCAGCTCAGGCCTCGTTTCCCTTTGTCCCACGCACGCCCCACCCCTCGCGTCCGGAGCCAAAAGTTACCAACTCTTAAAAGAAATAATGAACCAGGGAAATACAACAAAAATCTAAATCTCATAATAATAACACAATTCCTTTTAAAAGATTTGAACTTCTAGAGAAAACACATTAATGTACAACAATAGTTGTAGACAGAAATTTGCATGCCTTTCAGTATTAACCACATCTAGCTAACCCTTTAAAGACTGTATATCTGCATGGAATGGAAGAAATTGTTAAATGTACTCTGCATTCTGAAGTTTAGTTCCACTAATCAGTTCTCTCCCTTACCACATTCTGAAGCTTATTCTAGAAACACTTGCACTCAATAATAATAATTGTAACAACAACAACAACAATAAAATGTAGCTTTGAGTCAGGCAGATCTGGCTACAAACTTTACCTTCACATTTTCCCAGCTATAGTTTATTCTTATGTAAAATTGCATTAATAGTAAATACTATGCAGGACAATTGTGAGAATTGATAAAGAGGCAAAGAACTTCATGTCTATTTAATAAACACTTGAAACAACTCTGTTAAAACTGATTCATAGAATTTGCTCTTTGTATATACTCATAAAAATAACACAATTCCTTTCAAACATTTTTGTAATATGGAACAATGATTGTTTTACCTGGAATTAAAATTCTACTGTGTTCAGTCTATTCAAAACTGTTATGTATTTACAACTTCTCTATGTAAGGGTTCATGGGATGATAATTTATGTATCATTAAAATTGCCACATTTATTATTAGTACATTCTACAGGATAGAGTAGCAAAAAAATGTTCAAGTTTTCTTTGTTTCCAGCTACCAGAACTACAAGTTTTTTTCTTAGGTTAAAAAAAAATATTTAGTCACATCTTAGGCTCTGGAGTGGAGTAGGAAAATCTTATAGTAGGACACTAGATTCTGGGAGGAGTATGACCACAATTACATGTGTTGAGCAAATATATCGGTTAATCTCTCTACTTCTTGGTTTCCTTATCAGTAAAAATAAGAAGGTCTTGGAGAGCCTTCTAATTAGACATTTAGAAAAAAGAAATATTGTGTTGATTTTCACTGTTGAATAGTTTGGGGACTTCCATGCATACCCTGACAGAAAGGTTAGCATGAAGTCCATTAGGAAATGGAATATTCATATTGTATATAACAGCGAAAAAGAACTAAATAATGTACTCATAGAAGTTTGTCTTATAAAATGTTCATGAGAATAAAGGCTATTTATTCATCTTTAAGTACAGAGCAGGATGTGTAAGGAATGGGCAACAGCTCCTCAAGCTTATGCAAAACGCATAACTAAATTTTTCACTAAGAATATGTAGCTACATACTCACAAGGTGAGTGAAACTTAGCCTCATTTAGCTAATGAGAGCTGTAGCTGCATATTTCATATGAAACAATGTAGGCACATTCTCATAGAGGTTATTTAAAAGAGCAGATATACAAAAATATAGAACACAAGTTACCCTATGTGACTCAGGAATGACTTAAATATCAAGAGAATGACTTTACATCTAATATACTACTTACTCGTCAGAGTGTTTAATTGTATTTTAAGAAGCTAATTTATTCAATATAACTCACCTTTACATTATAAAATCAGCACTAGTTTGCCTTCTGAAAAGAATATGATTTTATTTTACAAATTGTCAGCATTTACCTGATTTTGATTTTTAAAAAGTAGTTGGCTTTCTAACTTAAAAAAAAAAAAGTTTATACCTAAGATTAAGATACTTTTATGTAAAATTACATCACAAAAAATATTAATTTTAAAACCCTCTGCTCTAGCTTATATAATAAGGTGGATAAATTCAGGTAATGTATAGCTATTCAAAATATTTGTTCTTTCAGCCTCCTTTGGACATGCAAAACACTTGTAAATGTGTTCAATCTTACAACTACTGCCCTGATACAGAACAGATACAAAATGCAAATTCTCTGTGGAACTAAGCTTTCCTGAAAAGGAGCAAATATGCACAAACTTTCAGTTATGCAAGAGGAAGAAGTCCTAGAGATTTACTACACAGCATAGTGCCTATACTTAAAAATTATTTTGTATGCTTAAAAATTTGCTGTATGTATAGATCTTATATGAAGAGTTATAATAATAGTAATAATAATAGGGGGAGGGAGAAAAAGGAAGCAGGGGAGGAAGAGGAGGAGGAGGACAAGGAGAAGGAAGAAAAAAGGGGAAGAAGAAAGAGGGTGGGAGGAAAGTTTTAGGGATGATAGATGTTTATGGCATATATTGAGGTGATGGAAATAAAGTATATACTTATCCCCAGCTCATCAGTGTATTACATATGTACAGCTTTTTGCATTTCAATTATACCTCAATAAAGTGTTTTTTTAAAAAAGAAAAAAAAATTCTAAAATCCCTGTAGCTTCGTTCACTTAGTTTACTGACCTGGAATAAAAACTACTCAAGAACCGTGGTTCTAAATATGGTTCCTGAAACATCAGCATTGCCTGAGAACTTGTTATAAATGGAAGTTTTCAGGCTCAGTCCAGAAATACTGAATCAGAAGCTCTGGGCATGTCTACAAAACCCTCCAATTGACATAGATGCGAGCCAGAGTGAGAACCACTATTCTAGTGCAGGATGGAGAAATAGATCTCTATATAAGAAGGGTATCTCTATCATTCAAATAATAAAGGACTGAAGAGTTAGGGAGTTTTCAATCTTGTAAAAATAAACTAATAAATAAATTCACTTTTCCTCACTCTATTTTTCAGAAGTATGTGGTTGGCCCAACTTTCAGTAAGGAAGTTCTAGAGCCCTCTGAAATTACTTGAGTTTGTGTCTGTTACTCAGAAAAATTACAACTGGATAATTGGAAGAATACTGTCCTGGGAAATTGGATAGAAGAGAACTCATCAACATGTGTGGTCACTATTAGTTCAAACCTTTATTAAAAATATTGCAGGATGAGGGGCACCTGGGTGGCTCAGATGGTTAAGCGTCTGCCTTCGGCTCAGGTCATGATCCCAGGGTCCTGGGATCAAGCCCTGCATCGCGCTCCCTGCTCCCTGGGGAATGTGCTTCTCCCCCTCCGTCTGCTTCTCCCTGCTCATGCTCTCTCTCTCTCTCTCTCTCTCTCTCTCTCTGTATCTCTGTGTCTCAAATGAATAAGTAAAAAAATCTATTAAAAAAAATTGCAGGATGAGAAGAGTTCAAAATGACAGTTTTGGGGAGTAAAAGGCCCAAAGCACTGACATGGTGGATTGAGGAGCTGTAGTTAAAGCTCAGTTTTAACTGTTCAGATTTCAAAAGGAATAGAGAACATGAGGGTTCCTCATTATACAGGACCTGCTAGACCGAGGCTGTGGTTTCGGCATTGGTTGGTCCAACTGGGTTTAGCAAGACTGGAGGAGAAACAGTTAGGAGCCTACAATCTTACCAAGGCTTTCAGTCCTTCACCATCTTTCACACTTGCATAAAATCTAACGTGAAAGAATTGTAGGAATAAGTCCCCATTATTTATTTTCAATCACGTAAGAGTTACTATAAGAATTTTATATCATTATTATTGGTTTTTTGAAATTTTAAATATAAGGTAATACCACCATATGTTGTGGGTAGATCAGCACATTTAATCTTCCAAGTATTTGTAGTATGATTTCTCATTCCATATTTTATAAACATAGAATGGTTAGCTACAAGAGCAGTTTCAAACTAAAGTCTTAGGCCAAGAACTTCCTCTTAGCAGTTCATCTAAACATCTTTTTCATAAATTGAAAAAAATAATTTTAAACATGCTTAGAAGTGCTTTATACCAAAGGTAGGAATTAAATAACATTTATTTTATTAATTTAATTATCTTGTTATGTCTCCATTTCTACTAATGATCCAAATAAAAATTATCAAATAAAAATCAGTAAAAACAAAAAACCAACTACAATCCATTAAAAATACCACTGATTATTATGTGATGGGGAAAAAAATCTTTTGGTTTTCTAGAACAGCAGATTCTTCAGAACATATCATGTGTCCAAGCTTTTCTAATCATATGGAATATATAATATTGAAAATGAGCTATTCTTTCCGTTTTAATTTTAGAAATACACACACACACAGAGAACTAATTTAAATACTTTTTTCTCAAGATATTTCTTAAAATATTACATTATTGGATTACAAATGACCAGTAACTAAGATATAATGCTATAAATTGCTATACTTAATCTGGTAAGGGTAAGTGTTTGTACACAATTACTTAATTCAAAGAATGTGATTTGATATGGGCAAAGAACAAAGGTAATCACCATGATCATCATCATATCTTAAATAACATATAATTAATACTGTATTGCTTCTTCTCCAGGTGAGTATAGATTAATGTAATACATAGCCTGCTACTAATTCGAGAATGTCTGTAGATGAAGTAGCTTGGAATATGACTTTCTCTGTCATATTTTCCCTCGGCAGCTGGAGAGCAAGAGTCACTAAAGTGATTTAGCAGTCAAGCTCTCCATTCTCCCAGCCCTTCACTAGACCAAAAGTAGAAAGATGCAAACCACTCTTGTTGGAGAGCTCAAGTGAAACTATTTCTTTCTTCACTCTTTCAAGTCCAGTGGAGAGCATATGATTTACTCCAGGGTTAAATCAGAATTTTACTGGCAATACATGAGTAAAAGCTTAAATACCATTAAAAATTCATTGCAATATTTTCTCACGCATCAACCTATGTTAAGTAACATTTTCAGGTTTCTTGACTCATTAAAATCCTTCAATGCTACTTGCAACTCTCCTAATAATTAATAATACTACAGAAGAGAGAATGAAATTCTGTTATTTCTTTTACCACTTTCCACTCATTTTTAAAATTATCCATTTACTCATGTATATGTTAGATGATTCCATTGTGTCTTTTCCATCTCTCCTTATACTTCCTTAGTTAAGGCACATATCAATTGGCATTATGTCAAAGAATCTGCTCCATGTCTCTCCCTTTAATTCATTTTGG